AGTACCGCAGCTGGATGTGCTCCGCTCTGCCCTCGAGTCGCGGCTCCTGACACAGGAGGATCATGGCCTTGCTGTCAGCATACAGGACTAGGGCAGAGCTAGGCCACTCACCTAAGTCAGTGAGCAAGAAGGTCAGCCAGCGGAGCTCCTGTGCCGCCATGGCACCGGCGTAGATCTCGGCCTCACAGCTGGACTGGGCAACAGACGAGGAGCGGGTAGCTCTCCACGAGACAACACCTGAACCAAGGCTAAAGCAGTAGCCCTGTGAGGACCTAAGAGTCTCAGCGTCGTCTGCCCACGAAGAGTCTGTGTGCCTAGTAAGGACCACTAGCCTACGCCCTCCAAGCACTAACCCCATGCCCGATGTACTTGCAAGATAACACAAAACCCTCTTAGCGGCAGACCAGTGCTGAGGTCGGTGTCTGCCTGTGGCCACAAAGCGAGCCAGGATGCTGAGAGGGTATGCGAGATCTGGGCGAGTGCAAGTCATCAGGTACATGAGGCAACCCACCAGCTCGGCGTAAGGGCCACTGGGCTCTACCAACTCCTTAGGAACTGGAGCAGAGAGCCTGTGGTCTACAGACAGAGGGGTTGGCTGTGCAGAGGAGAACTGAAGACCGAACCTCTGAAGGACCTGGCGCACCAAGTGTGTCTCAGTGAGGGTGATGGTGCGCGCTGCTCTGTCCCTGGAGATCTGCAAGCCAAGGTAATGGCGCAATTCTCCAAGGTCAGTGCAAGTGTGTCTCTTCAGCAGCTCTGCCTTCACGGAGGCCAGTGCGTCCCTGTCTGCAGTGGCGAAGACCAGGTCGTCTACGTAATCAAGGATGTAGAGCGGAGTCTGGCTTGCACAAACAAAGAGCGAGGGGTCTGCAGAGGACGGATAGAACTACAAGCAACAAGGGTAGCACGCAGCGTGTCGTACTGACGGTCCTCTAGGACGTCACTGCCGAGGGCAGGAGCACCCCCGACAGAGGGAGGACAGGCAGGGTCAGAGACCAGAGCGGTGGCGTAGTCAAGGCGGCGGGTAGAGGTGAAGTCAGCGACCGCTGCGACAAGAGCGTCAAGACACGAAACTGGAACAGACGGGTCGGTAACGAGAGAGGCAAGGACCCGAGGAACATGAGGACAAGCAGCACGCAGGTAGTCAGACAGAGGGGGGGGCGCAACAACAAGGGAGGACGGAGGACGTGACGGGAGAAGGGGAGGACGAGACGCGTGGGAACGAAGCAACATAGGGTGAGAGCGCGAGACAGGGGAGACAGGTCGAGCACGGGAGGGACGACGAGACCAGACGTGAGACGAAGCCGTTGGGTCAGGAGACAGAGGAGGGGACACAAGAGGGGAACGAGGGGGGAAACTTGCCGGAGACGAGTTCGGAGGAGGGAACACAGGGCCGTAGACAGGAGGAGGAGGAGGCACAAACGCGGGGTCAGGGGAGGGAAGGCCGAGCAGGCAAAGAGCGGACACCGGCGGGGACTGCTGCTATGGCTGTGCGACACCGACACTGGGACCGCAAGCTGCCGAGCGGCTACCTCTAGAGCACTCCACTCCAGCATCCTCAGAAGGTACACCCCCAGAGCTCAGAACCCCTCGAGCACCGGTACCACCCCCAGGCCCACTGGGACAAGCCACGACAGGAGTCCAAGAACTAGTACCCACCCCAACTCCAGCACCCCCAGAGTCAACGAACTGCTGCGGCGGCGGCTGCAACGGCGGCTGCGGCGGCGGCGGCGGCGGTGACGACGGCTGCGACAGCTGTGGCGATAACGGCTGTGGAGGCAGCGGAGGAAGAGACACCAAAGGAGGGGTAGGCGGTGAGGACTGCGCCGCAGGACCACCAGAGTCAGCAGACTCCTCGACCGGGACAACCGACGTAAGGGGGGTGACGTGGGACACACCAGAGGGGGCAAGACGGGGAGGGGGAGGGGGAGGGGCAGGGACTACCGGGGAAGGGGTGACCAGGAACAAGGGGGGGGTAACCGGGGGACCTCGGTGGGGGAAGCGGCGGTAGAAGGAGACGGACTCGTCAAAGGTGACGTCACGGGAGTGAAAGAACCGGTGAGACGGCGGGTGGTAGAAGTGCCAGTCAGACGCGTCAAGGGGGAATCCGAGGAAGACACAGGGAAGGGTGCGGGCAGTGAGCTTGTCCGTGCTAGAAGCACGAATGTGAGCAAGGCAGCCCCAGACGTGAAACGCAGACGCGTCACCAGGTGACCCAGACAAAGAAGGGTCGGCGAAACCTGAGGCTGCTGGGGGTGCGGCCAGAGGTTAAGCTGGTGAGTGGCGTAGCGAACAGCGAACGGCCACAGAAAATGGGGGGCACCGCTATAGATCATGGAGGTGCGAGCCACCTCCATGACCAAACCGATGCGTCGCTGAGTGACCCCATTCTGCTGCGGGGAGTCCGGCAAGGTGAACGTCTGGGTGATGCCCTCCGCACGACAGAAACGACCAAGGAAACCAGAGGCAAACTCGCCACCATGGTCGGAGTGGAGACGCAAGACAGGAAGACCGCGGTGGACACACGCAGAGACAAGCCACGGGATGAGAACGTCAGGCACGTCGGCCTTCTGCTCCAGGGGGAACACGGTGGTGTAGCGTGTGTAGTCGTCGAGAAGCACTAGGAAGTAGCGCTCTCGACGCGGCCCATGGATGGGGGCGGGGCCCCAGACGTCCATGTGCAGAGTCTGTAGCGGTGCTGCAGTAGGGGGAAACGAGGAGGAGTGAGGGGCACGGCGGAGCCGGCCCTCGACACAGGGCGTGCAAGGTGGGGCTGGGGAGGAGGGAAACTCGGGGAACGACCCGAGGAGGCCTAGGACGAGACCGTGCTGTGACATGTGACGCAGACGCGGGAGCGTAGGGTGACCTAGGCGGTGGTGCCAAAAGAGGGTCGGGTGAGTGAGTGACCGACAGGAGCAGGCAGCAGCAATTTGAGTAGACGCAGCCACCTGAGGGGGCGTCCCAGCCGGGGAAGTCACAATGTCTAGCGTGAAAAGGCCGGACACCGGGTCCCGTGGGAACGTGGACAGGGGGGCACCAGTGGCGGCCTCGGTACAGACAGCGTACCGCTCGTGACCAGGGAACGTAGTGGTGACGCCAAGGTCCTGGAGGCAGCCGACACCAACTATGTTCCTGGAGAACGAGGGGATGTGCAGACCTGTGAGAGAGCCCGAAGGAACCGCCGAACAAGGAAGGGTGGTGGAACTGCGGGCGACTACAGGGCCGAAGGAGGGGTCAGCAAGAGAAACTGCAGCAGGAACACGAAGCGGCGTCAGCGTGGTGGAGTCGCGGAAGAAACACCGGGAAGCACCAGCGTCTAAGGTGAAGGAAAGCGCGGCAGTGGTGGCCGGAGTTGAAGCAGCGATGGAAGCATCAAGGCTAAACAAAGCAGGGGATCCTGTTCGTGATGCAGCAGGGGAGTCTAAGCTAGGCACACCTACACTAGGCAACAAGGGGTAATAAGAAGGAAGCACACTAGAGTCATCAGCATACATTACATGCAAGGCAGTAACAATCTCATCCATGTCCATATCAAAGATCGGGACGCTACGACGACGCAAGATGTGCCTGTCTGGGAGCTCGGGCACCGGGCCGAAGCGCTGACGAAACAGGTCGTCCAGGCGACGGAAACAGCGGACAGAGGTGTGACCGAGCTTACCGCAAACGAAGCCACGGCGAGGTCCGGTCTGGAGTTGGTACTGACAGCGCGCGTCACCCGAACCACCACCCGGCAGCCCGCCACGCGCACGACCATCACGTCCAGCACCACCACCAGTGCCAGGCCACCCGGGCGGGAGACCACTCACCTGCCTCGGCTGCTGCGGCTGTTGCGGCTGCTGCAGCGGCTGCGGCTGGTGCGAGGACTGCTGCAGCAATTGGCGCGTGTCCGGCTGCAACACCTGCGGCTGCTGAGACGGCTGCTCGGCTGCACGTGCCCCTCGTCCGCGCCACCACCAGGTAACCCAACTCCACCACCACCTACACCTGAACCCCCACCCCCCCCGCCGCGCCCAGCCTTGGGGCGGCGACCCTTCCCCGAACGGACCTGTCCTTCAGCGACTGTCTCAGCCACAGCAACAGAACCGTCGGAGAAGGTGTACTGAGCGGGGGCACAACCCTGAAAGATAGGGACCGGCACAGTATCGCTAGTCTGGGCGATAGAGCGGTGGCGGGCCTTTATGGCGGACAGGGTGTCAACAAAGTCAATGAGGGTGAGGTCTCCTGGGTGGACACTAAGGAAGCGGTCGCGGGCAGTGGCAAGGCGGTTAGCAGGTAGAGAGCAGAGCAGAGGGGCGGCTGGTGAGCGCGAAGCTGTGTGTCAGTGCAGGCAGCGCGTCAGGTCTCGTCTATAGCGCGCAGGTGGGCGGCCAGATCAGCGACAGTGGGAAACGACGCAAGGTCAGGGAAGAGCATGGGGAGGATCAGGCGACCTACCGAGGCAGCAAGCGGGGTGGAATAGCGCTGGACAACAGCATCTAGGAAAGCCTGGGTAGTGGTTACAGACCTAAAGCGAGGGCACTCAGACAGGGGGAGGGCATGGCTGATAGCAAGCTGTGCGACAGCATCACGCGACAGCCAGACGGAGCGAGCAAGGGCAGCGGCCGCAGCGGACTCACGCTCAACAGACGAGGGGTCAGCGGGCAGCGCAGCAGGGGGGTCTGGGCAGGGGAGCGTACCGTCAAGATGGACGGGCGAGACAGCAGCTAGGGACGGGCGCGACGGCGAGAGACGGGCGTGACGGCGGCTAGGGCCTAGGGCGGAAGCGTGGGTGGGCTAGGTGGGGGGCCGAACCTACTATGATACCAAGTCAAAATGAGTAGTAGTAGAGTAGAATAGAAGGATACATGGGTATATAGAGTAGGGGTTGTACCCTCTAAGGCACAATCCAGTATAGTCTACAGTAACTACATAAGTTACATTTGACAAGTACAACTCAGGACAAAACCATCCTGTATCACTCATTCTAGTTCATCTCGTCATCCTATGTAAAGTTGGCAAGTGTGGAAAGTTAGAGTTCATATATATTTATATGCTAGATGTATATGAGATATAGCCTAGCTAGGTGCATTTCTTAGAGGGAATAACACTTGGATACAAACTTTGTGCTTGCCCTTGTCCTAGCCAACTTTTCCTCGCGATAGGGAATACCCTTATAAGTCCTATCCAGAGGCCTAGTCTCCATACATGCATCTACTAGGGTGGCTGAATGGCTACCACAAGTGAATTCAAGTGGTTGGTGGTGGCCTGGCTGTGGCGTCTTTCGGCCGGACAACACCAGAGTCGACAAGGAAAGGCACTTCCGCTGCTAACCAGGGCCCAAGGCCTAGACACAGTGCATGCGCTATCCCAAACCGCGGACTGCGAAGAAGAAAAAGGAGGACACAGGAGAGAGCTTTCGTTTGAAAACACACTCAGACGGGATACAGAGAAGTGGTGCTTGGTGCAGAAAAAAATATACGTGATTGACACGTGATAGAGACTCTTGGATCAACCAAGAGGAAGTGGGGCAGCGTGCTATATGCAGCATACGACATACACAGGGGAGACGTGGTGACTGGACAGACCTGTTCTTTGCCCACAAGGGCTTGAAGTGAATGGTGAGGCAAATCTTCCCTCCTCGGTACATCTGAAAGTGGTGAAGGGACGAGAGGGTGAGGGGAGGAGAGGAATTGAGCGGCAGGAAAGAGGAGGGGTACACGGTGGTGACTGCCCTTCTGAACCCGCCTCAATCTAGAAAAGCGTGCACATAAGAACGACTGGTGAGAGTTTTTTTGTCATCATTCAGCACTCAAGTATCACCCTCACCACATGGACCTTCATCTTAGCCATCTTGCAGCAACTCACAGCAACTCACAGCAACTCACAGCAACTCACAGCAACTCCCAGCAACTCCCAGCAACTCCCAGCAACTCCCAGCAACTCCCAGCAACACACGGCAACTCACGGCAACTCACGGCAACTCACGGCAACTCACGGCAACTCACCGCAACTCACCGCAACTCACAGCAACTCACCGCAACTCACCGCAACTCACCGCAACTCACCGCAACTCACGGCAACTCACGGCAACTCACGGCAACTCACGGCAACTCACGGCAACTCACGGCAACTCACGGCAACTCCCAGCAACTCCCAGCAACTCCCAGCAACTCCCAGCAACTCCCAGCAGCTCCCAGCAGCTCCCAGCAGCTCCCAGCAGCTCACAGCAGCTCACAGCAGCTCACAGCAGCTCACAGCAACCCACAGCAACCCACAGCAACCCACAGCAACTCCCAGCAACTCACGGCAACTCACGGCAACTCACGGCAACTCACGGCAACTCACGGCAACTCACCGCAACTCACCGCAACCCACCGCAACCCACAGCAACTCCCGGCAACTCCCGGCAACTCACGGCAACTCACGGCAACTCACGGCAACTCACGGAAACTCACGGCAACTCACGGCAACTCACAACAACTCACAGCAACTCACAGCAACTCACAGCAACTCAGGGCAACTCACAGCAACTCCCAGCAACTCAGGGCAACTCACAGCAACTCCCAGTAACTCCCAGCAACTCCGAGCCAAGGTGGAAAAATACGGTTTTCGTATTATACGGTCCGTTTTATACGATCCGTTTTATACGGCAAAAAAAAGAAAATACGACCGATTTTTAAATAGACATTTTTGGGCACCTAAAAAAAAAAAAAAAAACCTGCGGAAACAGGTTACATCTTGGCTACGATGGTTTACTCAGGGCTAAGTGGGCTAACAAACAGTTCCACAGGTACGTGTGTTGAACCTTTGTCTTCCTCCTCCTCTGCCGCGTCTTCCCCCCCACTATCACCCTCACCACCGTCTCAAAACATTAACAACACTCACAAATGAAGTACCACGGTGCATCCGAAAGTGATGGCAATTTAATTACAAACGTTTTTCCCCCAGGTTAAAAAAATACGACCGTGTTATACGACCGTTTTTTTGCACCAACCCAAAAACGCACCTCAGGACCGTTTTAAATGGCCGAATGAAACGATTCCGTATTATACGGTAAAAAAACAAAACAAAAAAAACGACCGTTTTTTTGCACCTTGCTCCCAGCAACTCCCAGCAACTCACAGCAACTCTCAGCAACTCACAGCAACTCCCAGTAACTCTCAGCAACTCCCAGCAACTCCCACAACTCCCAGCAACTCCCACAACTCCCACAACTCTAGTTCGGCAGCCGTGGCAGGGCATGCGGCCAGGACGTCAAACTGCCCTCTCGGCCTTACCACCTTTGCTGCCTTGCTGCCCAACTCCGGCAGCTATAGCTCGGGAGCTGTAGCAGAGTGAGTGACTGGGGTGTCAAACTGAAGGTCCAACTCGCACTTCACCAGGTACACGCCCCAGCGCACCTCTGCTGCCTGACAGTCTGAGACAATACCTTTGCTGTCTTGCCGTCCAGCTCGGGTAGCTCCAGCTCGGGAGCCGTCGCAGGGTACGTGACGGGGATGTCAAACTGAAGGTCGAACTCGTACTTGATCAGGTTGTAGACATACCTGGGGGGGACAGAGGGGGATAACGGAGTGCTTAAGGCCGCATCAACACACAAGGTCAAGCTCATACTCTCTCAGGTTGTACACGTACCTGTGGGCAGACGGAATAGAAGAGCCGGGATGATAGAGCAGCAATGCACTCTTTCAGTCATCAGGTTTTGTTCTGCAGAGCTGTGGTCACAAGGAGCAAGCAGCAGCCTGTGTTGGAAATTGGAATATACGCGTATTGCGTATTATACGCCAACGTATATACCCTTGCGTATATACGCAAGGCACATGGGTTAGGGGGTCCAATACGGCCGGAACACGCATGCCCGGGCAGGCTAAAAATTTTGCCTGGGCAGGGGGGAAAACCAGGGCGCAGCCAGGAGAGAGGGAAGGGCGGGATGGGGGCAGAGCATTGATTCAAATAACTTAACATACGCAAATTTCACATCAGGCGTTTATCAAGGACCACATCTCCCCCCTTCACCTCACACAACATCCCAGCATTAAATGCCGTTTCAAATGGCTTTTAAATGGGATGAGAAGCATCCTTAACGAAAACGGTGGGGGAGGAGGAGGACGCCTCGCCTGCATTAGAAGGGGGCAGGCGTGCTGGCGGGGGATGAGGGGGTGGACGCCATGAGTGCTCCGTAGCAGCTGGAATCGGTCTCAGCTAAGGTAAGGGACGGAGAGAGTGGAGAAGGAAGACGATTAGTGGTGGTGCTTCAGATCTGAGATATGGTGGAACGACCGACAAACACAGGATGGCTTTCAAACACGTCCAGAGGAGGCTAGGGTACGGGCGAAAAAGCATGGACGTTTCTATTTTCTTATCCTTTTTTTTTCCGTCAGGCAGCCCGGGTTTGCGTATCACGTATTCCTAGCGTATCTGCGTATTGGGAATATACGCAAGCGTATACCCGCAAAATGCTCAGTCTACAGAGCATATATCCGCAAAACGCTCAGCCTACAGAGCGTATATTCCAACACAGGCAGCAGCGCGTGTTGGGCAGAGAAAAAGTTTCACAAAAACAAATTATGTGCACACCATCCTAGGTAACTGAAAGAAAAGCAGCATGGAACCGACTTTGCAACACCTGATTCGATTTACACACCAGCATCCATCCACCCACCAGCATTCTCCCTTCCAAGTGGTCTCCTCCGCATTGGCAGGCGCCAGCTGTTGAGTCGAATCAGAAGCCACCTCCCCTCACACGCCCACCCACCACCCACACACCCCCCCACCTCCCCACCCACCCATCCGCGCACGCACCAGCATTTTCCCTTCCACTTGGTGCCCTCCGCATTGGCCGGCGCCAGCTGGAACCAGTCGTTGTCGCGCGCTTTGTTCATCTTCACGTACTCGATCAGCGCCTGGGGGGGGTGGGGCGGGGAGAGGGGGGAGAAGGGGAAAGGGAATTGTATACAGGCAACTCAGCACCACACAAGGGGGGGGGGGTGGGCTTTGAGACTTTTTTGTCACAAGGTGGTTAATCACAAACCCTAAACCCGAAACCTTCAACCCTGAACTACCCCTATCAGCCTACCTGAAACTCCTCTTTGAGTCTTTGCTTCCACTGCTCGTCTCTGGGGCCCGCCTTCACGGTCAGAAGTGGAATCTTCTGAACCGCGCTCTTGGTCGTGCTGTCCCAGCCGTCCATGGCACCTAGGCGGAGAGGGGAAACGGAGAGGAGGAGAGGGGGCCGCGGAGAGAAGGAGATGGGGGAATGGAGAGGAGGAGAGGGGGGACACGCAGAGGAGGAGAGGGGGGACACGCAGAGGAGGAGAGGGGGGACACGCAGAGGAGGAGAAGCGGGACACGCAGAAGAGGAGAGGGGGGAGACGCAGAGGAGGAGAGGGGGGACACGCAGAGGAGGAGAGGGGGGAGACGCAGAGGAGGAGAGGGGGGACACGCAGAGGAGGAGAGGGGGGACACGCAGAGGAGGAGAGGGGGGACACGCAGAGGAGGAGAGGGGGGACACGCAGAGGAGGAGAAGGGGGACACGCAGAGGAGGAGAGGGGGGAGACGCAGAGGAGGAGAGGGGGGAGACGCAGAGGAGGAGAGGGGGGAGACGCAGAGGAGGAGAGGGGCGACACGCAGAGGAGGAGAGGGGGGACACGCAGAGGAGAGGGGGGACACGCAGAGGAGGAGAGGGGGGACACGCAGAGGAGGAGAGGGGGGACACGCAGAGGAGGAGAGGGGGGACACGCAGAGGAGAGGGGGGACACGCAGAGGAGGAGAGGGGGGACACGCAGAGGAGGAGAGGGGGGACACGCAGAGGAGGAGAGGGGGGACACGCAGAGGAGGAGAGGGGGGACACGCAGAGGAGGAGAGGGGGGACACGCAGAGGAGGAGAGGGGGGACACGCAGAGGAGGAGAGGGGGGACACGCAGAGGAGGAGAGGGGGGACACGCAGAGGAGGAGAGGGGGGACACGCAGAGGAGGAGAGGGGGGACACGCAGAGGAGGAGAGGGGGGACACGCAGAGGAGGAGAGGGGGGACACGCAGAGGAGGAGAGGGGGGACACGCAGAGGAGGAGAGGGGGGACACGCAGAGGAGGAGAGGGGGGACACGCAGAGGAGGAGAGGGGGGACACGCAGAGGAGGAGAGGGGGGACACGCAGAGGAGGAGAGGGGGGACACGCAGAGGAGGAGAGGGGGGACACGCAGAGGAGGAGAGGGGGGACACGCAGAGGAGGAGAGGGGGGACACGCAGAGGAGGAGAGGGGGGACACGCAGAGGAGGAGAGGGGGGACACGCAGAGGAGGAGAGGGGGGACACGCAGAGGAGGAGAGGGGGGACACGCAGAGGAGGAGAGGGGGGACACGCAGAGGAGGAGAGGGGGGACACGCAGAGGAGGAGAGGGGGGACACGCAGAGGAGGAGAGGGGGGACACGCAGAGGAGGAGAGGGGGGACACGCAGAGGAGGAGAGGGGGGACACGCAGAGGAGGAGAGGGGGGACACGCAGAGGAGGAGAGGGGGGACACGCAGAGGAGGAGAGGGGGGACACGCAGAGGAGGAGAGGGGGGACACGCAGAGGAGGAGAGGGGGGACACGCAGAGGAGGAGAGGGGGGAGACGCAGAGGAGGAGAGGGGGGACACGCAGAGGAGAGGGGGACACGCAGAGGAGAGGGGGGACACGCAGAGGAGGAGAGGGGGACACGCAGAGGAGGAGAGGGGGGACACGCAGAGGAGGAGAGGGGGGACACGCAGAGGAGGAGAGGGGGGACACGCAGAGGAGGAGAGGGGGGACACGCAGAGGAGGAGAGGGGGGACACGCAGAGGAGGAGAGGGGGGACACGCAGAGGAGGAGAGGGGGGACACGCAGAGGAGGAGAGGGGGACACGCAGAGGAGGAGAGGGGGGACACGCAGAGGAGGAGAGGGGGGACACGCAGAGGAGGAGAGGGGGGACACGCAGAGGAGGAGAGGGGGGACACGCAGAGGAGGAGAGGGGGGACACGCAGAGGAGGAGAGGGGGGACACGCAGAGGAGGAGAGGGGGGACACGCAGAGGAGGAGAGGGGGGACACGCAGAGGAGGAGAGGGGGGACACGCAGAGGAGGAGAGGGGGGACACGCAGAGGAGAGGGGGGACACGCAGAGGAGGAGAGGGGGGACACGCAGAGGAGGAGAGGGGGGACACGCAGAGGAGGAGAGGGGGGACACGCAGAGGAGGGGGGGGACACGCAGAGGAGGAGAGGGGGGACACGCAGAGGAGGAGAGGGGGGACACGCAGAGGAGGAGAGGGGGGACACGCAGAGGAGAGGGGGGACACGCAGAGGAGGAGAGGGGGGACACGCAGAGGAGGAGAGGGGGGACACGCAGAGGAGGAGAGGGGGGACACGCAGAGGAGGAGAGGAGGGACACGCAGAGGAGGCGTGGCTGGAACAGGGAGGAGGAGAGGGGGAAACGGAGAGGAAGTGTAACGTACCTGCAATGTAAAAACGATGCGCTGCGACCTCTGGGTAACCTCGTCTTGCCTAGTGGCCCAGTGCAGTGCAGCGAGGCGCTATAGGAAGAGAGGGGGCCACGGAGAGGAGGAGAGGGGGGGGAAGGAGAGGAGGCGTGGCTGGTACGGAGAGGAGGAGAGCGGGGCACAGAGCGGCGTGGCTGGAGGAAGTAACGGAGGGTACTGGAGGGGAGAAAAAAGGAAGGAGCGGGAGGAAGAAGTATACGGAACGGGAAGGGAGGGCGCGAGGGAGGGGGAAGCGACGGACGGGAAGGGGAGTTGCGATGGTGAGGGCAACCGAATGGGACTTGGGAGGGGCGACGGATGGAAATGGAAATGCGCCAAGCCACGAGGGAGGAAGCGAGTCGCGCCCGGAAAAAAGTCGCCTAGCGACGGGCAAATCCGGGATTGGCGACAGGCGAGGAGCGATTTAGCGGTTGGATGAAATACTGCCTCGCGACAGGGTTCCCAGGGCTAACCTGCCAAAATTCATGTGCGCGCGCATCGGGAGGGGACATGCTTACCTCGGATTCCTCGGAATGGCCGTTTCCCCCTCTCGTTGCCCCCACTCTCGCACGTGCGCGTCGTGTTTTGGACGGCGCGGTTACGTTTTTCGCGGCGTAGGCTCCTAGCGTGTCTTCCTGATGTTTCTACACCCGATCTGCGCTTATGATATTCGCTCGTGGGCCCTGCTGGCTGCTCATTGCGCCAGACTACGCCTCGCTTCAGAGTCCCGCCAATGCTCCATACATAGCATCAGACGTGTTGTCTAGTTGGTAGAACCTAAAATAGTGGAAGGATAAAATAAGAAGTGCATTGTAATATAAGGGTTTGAAGAAGAATAGTACAAAATATATGAAGCGTATGTCAACATATATTTGTATATGTTATGGGCTAGATAGGTGCATGCTCATAGAGGGTACAGCACTATAGCACAAAACCTCCTTGTATGGCACAATCTAGTTTATTGCGTTATGCTCACATGGTATCACACTAGGTTATATCACACTACGCTTCCGCCCCTAGCCTTAGCTCTAGCCTTAGAGCGCACCCCGTCACGCCGCGCTGGCCCCATCCCGTCGCGCCGGCCCTGTCCCGCTGCGCTGCCACTCGTCACGCCGCGCTGGTCCCGCTAGACTGCGCCGACCCCGTCCCGCCGCGCCGGCCCCGTCACTCCGCGCCGGCCCCGTCACTCCGCCCCGGCCCTGTCACGCCGCGCCGGCCCCGTCCCGCCGCGCCGGTCCCGCTAGACCGTGCCGGCCCCGTCACGCCGCGCCGGCCCCGTCACACCGCACCGGCACCGTCACGTCGCGCCGGCCTCGTCACTCCTCTCCGGCCCCGTCACGCCGCACTGGCCCTGCCATACCACGCCGCACTGAGCTGCCGAGCCGCTGCGCCACTGAGCCGCTGAGCCGCGCCGCCGAGCCACCGAGCCGTCGAGTAGCCGAGCCGCCGAGTAGCCGAGTCGTCGTGCCGCCGAGCCACCGAGTAGCCGAGCCACCGCGTCACCGAGTTGCCGAGTCGCCGAGCTGCCGTGCTGCTGTGCCGCCCCGACCTGCCAGCCTTGGTTCCCCCTTCTGTGCCGGCGCTCCCGCCGGCCGTCTCCACCACTGCTCTCCATCGCCCTCTCCTCCTCCTCCCCAAGCGGCGGTCAGCTGCTGCAGCCGTGGCGATGGCGGACGGTGTGCTTCGCCTGGACGCGGAGGGTCGAGTGATCGACTTTGAGGCATGGCTCGCCGACCTCCACCGCTTGCTAAGGGGACAGCGTCAGGATGGCCAGTTTCTGGCCGTTCATGCCGACAGTAAGATCCCCTGCCCCGACCTGTCTGCTGCCCTCTCTGACGCCCCCACGCCCGCTGAGCGTGAGGCCTTTGCAGCTGCTGAGCTCGCTCGCTCTGTCTGCGAGTCGCGTGACGCACTTGCGGAGCTTGCTATCAGTCGCGCCCTCCCCCTGTCTGAGCACCCCCGTTACCAGGCCCTAGAGACTGCGCAGGCGTACTTAGATACTGTTATTGCACACTATTCTACTCCCTCCTCCGCCTCTGCCGGTTGTCTCCTCCTCCCCCTGCTCTTCCCTGTCCTTGCGTCTTTTCCCACTGTCACTAATATCGCCACTCACTTGCACGCACTAGAGACTAGTTACCGCGCTGCTAGCACTGAGGCTCAGCTCCTTGTACTGCCTCCCCCCCTCGGTGCTAACCTCTACTTCCTTGCCACGCACCTTCCTGACCGCCTAGCTACTGCCCGCGACCACTTTTTTGCCCTGCACCCTGCTGACCTCACCCTCACTAACTTTGTCACTACCCTGACCGCGATAGAGACCCGCTAGCGCACTATCACTCAGTCGAGCGGTACTGCGGTGGCCCTTATCTTTCAGGGCTGTGCTCCCTCCCTGTGCACTTACTTTGACGTCTTTGCCGCTGTTGCTGAGACGGCCCCTGCTGCTGAGACCGCTGCAGCAGCCTCAGCGAAGTCTCGATAGGGTAGGGGACGCTGGGCCTGGGGGGGGCATGGCGGTGGGTGGGGTGGCAAGGGTGATGAGGGTGGCGGAGGTGGTGGAGGGGACGGTGGTGCAGACGAGGGGATCGAGGCTGGTGCCGAGGAGCAGCAGCAACAGCAGCAGCCTCAGCGGCAACAGTAGGAGCAGTAGCCTCAGCAGCAGCAGCAGCAGCCGTCGCAGCAGCAGCTGCAGCAGTCGCAATGGGGACCCCTGCGGCTGTGGTGGACTGGCGGTGCTGGTGGTGGTGGAGGGCGCAGCTCGATGTCGGGTGGCGGCTCCAGTGTAGTCACCTGCCAGTACCAGCTTCAGTCCGGCCCCCCCCACGACACCGTCCGTGACCGCCCCAACCCCAGTCACACCGCCGCACGCTACTACCGCCACCTCGACGACCTCTTCCGTCTCCGCTTCAGCCCCATGGCGGACCCCCACGACAGGTACAGCCTGATGCATTGTCGTGTGCCTGTCTTTGACATGGACATGGATCAGATTAGGTCTGCTTTGTATGCCATGTATGCTGATGACTCTAGTGTGACTGGACCCAATTTTCTAGTGTTGCCTAGCGTAGGTGTGTCCCCTGTGTAGTCTAGGTTCCCCTGCTGCGTCAGGCGTAGGACCCCCTACCTTGTTTAGCCTAGGCTCCACGCTAGCCCCTACTTTCACGCCTCTTGCCGCCCCTGCCGCAGTCGCGCTTGCTGACCCCTCCTCAGGTCTGGTAGTTGCCCGTAGCTCCACCACCCTTCCCTGTCCGGTGGTTCCCTCGGGTTCTCTTACAGGCCTGCACATCCCCTCGTTCTTTAGGAACCTAATTGGTGTCGGCTGTCTTCAGGACCTCGGCATCACCACTACGTTCCCCAGACACGAACAGTACGCGGTCTGTACCGAGGCCGCCACTTGTGCTCCTCTGACCACGTTCCCCCGGGACCCTGTGTCTGGACATTGTGTCCCCCCTGGTGAGGGCGTCCCCCTAGGTGCCTGTATCAACACAGGTCGTTGCGGCTTGCTCGTGTCGGTCACTCACTCACCCGTCACTGCTGTGGCACCACCGCCTAGGTCACCCCTCACTCCCGCGTCTACATCACATGTCCCATCACGGTCTTGTCTTCGGTCTCCCTGCGTCGCTCCCTGCCTTTCCTCCCTCGTCTGCACCACCGTGCACCCCTGGTGTCGAGGGCCGGCTGCGCCATGCTCCTCACTCCTCCTTGCTTCCCCCTACCACAGTGCCAGTCTAGACCCTGCACCTGGACATCTGGGGCCCAGCCCCGTCCCTGGGCCGCGTCGCAAGCGTTCTAGTGCTTGTCGACGACTACAAGCGCTACACCACGGTGTTTCTCCTGGAGCAGAAGGGCGACGTGCCTGACGTTCTTATCTTGTGGGTCGTAGCTGTGCGAGTCCACCGCGCCCTCTCTGTGCTGCGTCTCCACTCCGACTGTGGCAGCGAGTTCGCCTACGGTCAGCTTGGCCAGTTCTGTCATGCGGAGGGCATCACCTAGTCATACACCCTGCCGGACTCCCTACAGCAAAATAAGGTCGCTGAGCGACGCATCGGTTTGGTCATGGAGGTGGCTTGTACCTCCATGATCCATGCAAGTGCACCCCATTTTCTGTGGCCATTCGCTACGCCGCTCACCTGCTTAAAGCCCCTCTCTCATAATTATGTCTGGTACCAAGTGTTAAACGGTTGGAGAGGGGGGGTTACCCAGATGGATGTGCACGAAAGTCCAGGCTGGGGAGGGAGTGCTCTCATTGGCCCATAACTCCAAACCTGGTTGCAAAAATACAGGCGACACCCAGGCCAACAGGTGGGGCAGGCGACAAAAATGTACGACACGAACGCAATTTGCAGCGTGGGTGACTTTGCTGGGGCGACACAACCAACCGTAAAACCAACCTGCTGAATTATGAGAAACTTAGGAACGCACAGAACTCCAAGTACCCTAGCAGGCCTGCATCCAGAGGCGCGCACTCCACACAACGAGGCGCACAACGTACACCGATACGCACCTAGTTCTTCCATCGAGCAGACTTCGCACCTCACCAAATATCGTCAAGGTCCGCCGCTCACCTAATATCGGTAGTGTTACGCACCGCACCTAATATTGGCGACTAACGCACCGATGCAAACATGCGCCACTTAGGGCACGTCGCCTTATATTGCCAAGTCACGCATGGGCTTTGACGACCCAGCCGCCTAAAAGTTGGTCTTTCAAGAGAAACCCTCGCTCAACCAAGGCCTCGAAGTTGACGCGGGAGGTTAGCTCGGACACACAAGTTTAGGGCTGCTCGGCTACGAGCAGTCAAGTCTGGTACATGTTGCACAGCATATGCATGGTCAAACCGTGGACTGACGGTTTAGCCTCCTTTGGCGTTCTATGCACTAGGCTACCTTTGCGTTTAGGCAAAATCACGCTCCCGATTTAGCAGTTGCAATCCCATGGTTTGAGCACGCGAAGACAACCAGAGAAGAGGCAGATGGAATCGCCACAACGAAGCGGTTCACAACAGGTTCGATGTACCTGGCACCACGGTTAGAGTGTCCGCTCTCCCTGCCGCGCGCCTCCTGCTGCGCTTTCCCCCTCGCGCACATCCTGCTGCACTCTCCCTGCCACGCGCATCCTGCTGCGCTCTCCCTGCCGCGCTTATCCAGCTGCGCTCACCCTGCCGCGCGCATCGTGCTGCGCTCTCCCTGCACGAGGTATGGCGCAGCCATCTGAGGTTTGAAGGGCAGAATGGGTGAGCCATGCTGAGTGGGGTAGGCTGCATGCTGATTGGGTTACTGCATGCTTGTAACATATTGTGAGGACAACATCCCATCTCAGAGCGTACCTACCATACCCCTCCCACCCCTCCCACTGGGATGCCAAAAGCAGACCCAGTCCTGAGTGCGTTGGCACTCACGAGGACCCATTTGCGCTGCTGAGTGTGTGGACTGCCTCTGGCGAGCGGGGCGGGGAGAAAGGACGAACGGTCTTGCACGTTGGGATGGCAGGCCAGCCTTTGCCGGCAGGTCCGCCGACTGCCAACCTCGAGCAAGGTCGACCAGCCAGGTGCGTAACTGCTAACCCTAGATGTCAAGCAACCTGGTTCTGGATTCGCCAAACCACACATACAACAGCTGTCTGAACTGTACTAGACAGCCTACTCCCTGGCAAAGTGTTTTTCCATGGTCCATGATTTGATGCGG